TGCAAATTGATAAAGCCATAAAAAAGTAAGGATATAGAAAACGGACTTAAAAAATGAAAAAAAAAAAGAAAAAGAAAGAAAAAAACCAAACCTTTCTGATTGTAAAAGTGAAAAAATTGCAAGCCACTTATTGCTGTTTAACCAAATACTTTATTGCTGATCGCTGTTATAGATTAAAATTCTGTTTACAGATACAGTTTTATTTGTTTACACAAAAAACACCAATTAAGTTGGCATCAAATGTTTAGCAGTTACTGTAGTCGATATTTTTAAATCAAAGAATTAGCTTTTGGCTTTTTTTGAATTAAATTTTAGAAGCAATCAAGCAACTAAGCAAACAGTAAACATGTTTTAAATTTAACCACATATAGTAATCATTGTAGACGTTGTTGACTTCTGAGCTTAGGTGTGAACATTTTTTTAGACTGGTTATGAAAGATGAAGATCAACGTCGATTGTTGAACGCTAAATTGGTAACACGTCTGGATCTGAATGCTACATATATTGAAATGTTGTATCCAGCAATCTTCAAATTTTCATGTCTCCTAAATCTGAAATATTTTCCTTATGACGTTCAGGTATCATACATCCTTGTTGTTTTTGCCGTTTTTGTACGTCTACAATTATAAGACCAAGAAACATCATCTTTATCATTCAGTCATCTGTATTATGCAGTGTAGTATATTATATATGAAATACATAGACTATATTCATAAATGCCAAAAAAAAAAAAAAAAGCTTTACTTTTACTTTCCCATATTGACAGAAGAATATTGAACGGTTTTTTTTTTTCTGCAATCATCTTTTCTGATAAAAATTTGAACGATGAAAATATCATCTGAATACGTTAAATGAATATTATTTTTTTTTTTTTTTTTTTGAAGAAATGAAATTAAAGCCAAAAAAAAAGACTGATAAATAAACGAAATGCAACTAAAAAACAGAATTTCTCTTTTTTTTTTTTGCTGTTTACTTATCTGTTGCAAAGAAGCATTTTTTTTTTTGCTGTTAATGAGATAAAAGAAACAATTTTGTAAGCGTTTTTTTTTTTTTAATCTACTAAATTCGCTTTCAAAGAATGGTACATAGTTTCGTTAAGCATGAAATATTTGGTTTTGCAAAAAAATTTTGTTAATAGCTAAATCCATTTTTTTCTTTTGAAAACAATTTGGTTTTTTTTATGCCATTTTACTACTGAACGCCTTCCACGCTTTAATTTTTACAGTAAATTTAAGTGTATTTTTTTGTAATACTAAGATAATTTGGTTTAAACAGATGACCACTGCATTGAAAAAAAAAAAAATCCAGTATTCTTTTATAGTTACAGAATAGTCAAAACACAACAATTTGGATCATCACAGAAATTTGATGGCATTAAACTGAAGCTAAGTAGTGCTTTAGTGTCGCTTAAAACAGATTACAAAATCAATTTAGTGATATTTTTTTTTAAGATAGAACATTATCAAAGCATTACCAATATATCAGCAAAAAAATATTTACATATACCAATTAAACCAATATTGCGTTTAACCGCCAATAAATTTCTTTTATGTCAATTTGAAATACGCACTTTGAACTGATAAGTACTGACATTCACCAAAAAGTTTTCATGTTTTAAAATGTCTTTTTTTTTTTTTTTTCAAATTTAACAGCATTTACGCTGCAGTTAATAAATTTAATTAATTGGTGCAAAAAGCTAACTGCGAAAAAAAAAAGAATTTAATACTTTTGAATACGCATGTAACCTTTGGCTAACTATTTTTTCAATCTTTGGTCAACTGTTTTTCCTTTCGAGGGATTCTTATGCAGACTGAGATCTTGTAAGAAAAAAAAATCAGCTAAAAAAAGAACTAAAAATTAAACCCTAAAAAACTTTCAAAGTTTTTTGCTGACCGCAGTAGTTTTACAGTAACTAAAAAAAAAAAAATCAAATTACCAATATTTCTCATTAAAACTTCTTCAATTTTTTTAAGCATTAAAATTTCTTTGATTAATTTTAGCGATGTCGAATGATATTCTCAAGTTGGACTTATGATAAAGCTGGAATTGATTATTTTCCACATGAAAATATGAAAACTATTGGCAACAAAAGTTTTATTGAAAACGAAGGTTGGGGACTTCTAAAAACTCTTGGTCAGTTCTTTAATGTCGGTATTATTTTCAACTCTTTTATAACAGCTGTTAATTTATTATAAATTCTTTTTTTTAATATTAAATGATTGACTTTAAAAAAAAATTTTACTTTAGTAATTTGGTCAACTGTATTTTACACGTAACATAGACTTTTTTTCCACTGTGCATTGATAGGTCTGCAAAACGTTGCCAAAAAATTTGATTTAATATTATATCGGTCTAAATGTTAACTACTTGTTGCTTATTCTAGTTCAGCGAGTTGAGAAGCAGTTTACGTGTTGTCCAGTAAACTATACACTTCTGTATTTTGATCTATTTTTGCGCAGAAAACCTCTGTTTTATTTGATCAATCTGATAATCCCGACCAGTATCATCACGCTGATTGCCTTAGTTGGATTCTTCACGTAAACATTTCATTCTTCATCGCAGCAAAATTTTGACCAAAGAAAAGCAATTGCTATCTTTTTAGCTCATATCTAATTTATCGGTCAGACAGTTATCTTAGGTAAACATGTCGACTAACTAATTTTAAAGTGACAAAATCTATCTTTTTTTTTAATTTAGGACAACTTGATATGAGAAAGAGTTGGCTTTCGATGCTGTCACAGTCTGAAAAATCAAATTCATAATAAAAACTATTTCAGACTTAAACTAAAATCTTGAAAAAATTTGTCGACAACTAATTACTGAAAAAATTTAAATTAGCTGTTGACTGAAAAAAAATTTTATTATTTTGTAGAATTTGAAATTTAATAAAATTTTTTATAAAGAAGAGCATTTAATTAAAAAGCTAAAAATAGTAGAAGACAAATGAAGTAACTTGCAAAAAGTGTCAGATACAAGAACAGACTGGTGACGAAAATTGCTTTTTTTTTGTTTTGTCAATTTTCTTATTTTAATACGAATATTATTGTTATTATTATTAGTTTTAGATTATTTTAAGCAAGCAGCCTTTTTTTTTTCAAAGACTTAACGTCAGACTATTATTACGTCAATTGATGCTGACGAAAACATAGATGGGTAATTTTAGTATAAAACTGTAAGTATAGAATAGCCTTCTTTTGTTTTCTTCTTCTTCTGTTTTTTTTTTTTTTT